CAATGTTTTTAATCTGTGGTCTTGGTCTGGTGGGGGGGGGGGGGCTTCCTTCTAGTGTCTGTAGAAATGTTGCATAATTACAGAAAGAGCAGTATAGCATATAGATCCTATTGTGAACTGTCAAGACAAATCACAAGGGGGGAGGGGGCACAAATAAAAAGTTTAAGAATTACTAGTCCAGCGAAGTAACCTTATTATTTTAGGTTGTTGGATTGTACAGCGAGACACAATGCAGGTATAATAAATTACATTAGATGACCAAACAAACGTTTTTATTGGTTTTTATTTCTATATAAATACAGCTATTCTATGCTGGATTTATTCTTTCCTTACTGATTTTTTGTATTTTAAGAGAAATAAATTTAACATTCTTGTTGTAATGATATCAAGAGACTTTCAATGTTCACCAAATATTTCAAGTCTTACTTTGATCGCTTAATATAGCCTTGGAGTACACCTTTTGTTATGATGTTAAAGCCATTTCCTTTTAGCCATTCTAATAGTGTCACTTTCCACATCCCCACCCACAAACTGTTAACACACTCCCACCCCACCCACAAACTGTTAACACACTCCCACCCCACCCACAAACTGTTAACACACTCCCAAAAGGATAGAAAAGTTCTTAAATGTTTTTTATTTCACAAGTTATTTAAGTTCATTACAAATACCATGATATTATTTCAACAAAGTTAGAAGAATAAGTAAGCCCACAATTTTCTCAGGAGTTTAGATTTTACAAATGACTAGAACAACATGTGGAAGACAGCATTTAAAAAAACCTTATGATAAACCATTCAATGTAGATGTCATGAATAATATTCTTAAAAAATCTGTACATGAACTTGATAAATGCATCCTTTGAAACATTCATAGCCCACATAGCAAAAACCCACTTAAAAACATAATCTATTACTATATGTAGTTTTCAAAATGAATTCAATATCTATTGAAAACAAGCCACAACACGCTACTTGCAGCTAACATACAGACAACCTCTGGTATTAACTCCAAAACCCACTTAGAATAAGCTACGACCAGTAAATCACTAACTGTACCTCACAAACAAAACAGCCTACTACATGCAGGCCATAATCTTTTACTTTTAATATCCAGCCCCCAACTATGTATAGACCACATGTAGGCTACAGTCAGTCAATCGTGATTAATAATTACCAACAACCTGTCCACAAACTGTAACTCTCACCTTTATGACCAATTTTATGTCATCAATCATAACCCATAACCTACATTTCCAAATTATCAATGCTCAGATTCTAAAACATAACTTGAATTCTTGTATAAACAAATGTTGCTCATGCAAAATGTTTCATTTAATGTAGTGTAAAGGGGTTCGTTCACCTCTGGAGACAACACTCGAGCTGCTTGTGCAGTGAACCTCACAGCAATTTCCACTTACAGTTCAAAATGTTGTCTCCAGATCACCACAGTCTCCAAATCAATACAAGAGGATCAAGGTTATTAACGTACTTATTACTCAACAAAGCTTCTTTTTTTTTTTTAAGTTAACTACAGACATTTCTGTCATATGTCACCAGACACCTAAGCCGTATTCTCCGTTGCATTTCAAATAATGAATAATATACGTATTCACGTGACTCACTGAATAAGTGATGAGCCAATTGTTTATCTTTATTAGTATGCACACGTATTACTGGGTCTACTAGTCTACTATGTGCATTTAAAAAGTAATTTAGACATCAACACCGAACAAATTTTAGTATTGTACAGGAATGTAGAGATAAAAAGATTCCCAAATTATTTTCACCAATTATTTTAAAAACTAAGTTTTGATTACTTTATATCACTTTCAAGTCACATAAAACATTTAATGCCTACAAGTCTTAATACAAAAAAAAACAAGAAATGTAAAATTTTGGATGAACCCCCCAAAAAATGCACTAAATCTTGTAACTAAGTAATGTTCTCAAAGCCTTAAATAAAAGCAAAAGATAAGTAGAAATCATTGTGGATACTTTCATATGCAGTAAAGGTTAGCCTGAAAATACAAGTCCTAGTTTCAGCCACGAGATCCCTTAGATTGATATTAATTGACTGATTTGTTTTACTCTTGTATGATAATGGCTTCTGAAATATTCAAAAACATTACAGTTTCAATATTTATATATATATATTTGGTGCAGTGTTCTTTTAGTTATTTTTTCTCGCGTCATCATCACTTTTTCACCACTTTCAGCCTACAATGTTAAGCCATGATACAGTTTATTAGAGATGGACAATTAACTCATTTAATTCATTACCTATTACATTGATTAGTTTTATGTAAAATAACCTCGAAATTGAAATTAAATCAATTAAGGTTGCGAAAATAACCAACTAATCAAAATCAGTGTTTCCGATTATCCAAGTAATCGAAACATTACCATCATGATTTCACCATGTTTATTTTTTATGAATTCAGCCTAACTGATTGGAGTTATGACTCACAGAAATTATCAAATAATTAAAATTAATATTTCTGATTATCCTGACTATCCAAGTCTCATGTGAGAATAATCAATTAATGACCTTGATGATTAATCAAATAGCAAATTCCATAAACTGACCAGCTCTAGTCTTCATATATATACACCTTTTATGTCTACAGTGTTGAGTCATTACTCAAACTCACCACGAAAACCTTCAAACATTCAACTTATCAAACCTTTTCTTTCCTTTTCGGCTCCAAATAAATGTGGACTTATATAAGTACAGGTATGTCTCATGCAGAGTGGCCTATCAACAGAAGTTACATTTTAGACATCTATCAAGAAAGGAAGATGACCAGAAATTAAACATGGTTTTATCTTCTTATTTTTTTGTACAATGTACAAACACATTTCACTGATGCTGTAAATGTTGCTAAGTAATCAATGACTTGTACAAATATGCTTTTTTTTTAAACTTAAAACCCTTGTTTACTCTTAAAACAAAATGAATAATCCTCATTATATTCAAAACAAAAGATTTCATTGAAATGTAGTGTAAAAGAAACTGTATCAATTTCAGAATTCAACACTGGACATATTCCACTGTCAGGACTTTTCTAGAAAATAGAAAAAGGCAACAAAGGTGAATCCAAACAAATATTGAAAAATCTGATCACACAGAATTCATATTTCTTAATTCTTCTTTTTAACATAATTCAATAAAAGTGAATACATTTTAAAAGAAGACCAAAATAGATGTATAAACAGAAGTGTAATAGTGCCAGTATCCTTATTAAATAACTATTAAGATTAATGATAACTTTTAGTTACAGATGTTTAGAGATAATTACTCACAACAACTCATTAAATTTTTTAAACTGAATATTAGATTTTAAGTTAGTATTCAGCGTAACTAATTTTTTTTAATTCATGAGGAATCAGAATACTGACTTTATATTTTTTGTTTTTTACATTACTTAGATACAGATTTTATAATATTCTGAAACATTTCACCAATGCTGAAGGTACACATTTTTAGTTAGTGGTTGGAAATTGTAAATAAAAGCATTCCCAATAACTTGCTTTTTTTTTCTTTTACAATCAAAATTTATACAAAATCTAAGTTTTTACTAACATACAGCATGGAAAGGTTAAATCATTTTAGTTTATTTTAAAAAACATTGGTATAAATGTCCTGGCAACTTTGGTAAATGTTTTAAAAGCTGAAACCATAAATAGTTACTGTTCAATTAACTGAAACTTTATATTTGCATTATTTAAATTTGAAACAAACTAACATTTTTGTAAAAGGACTCTTATTTCTGTAAAAAGTAGACTTTGTAAAAATTTTGTGAACAAAAATCTAATACTTTTTAACATGTAAAACAGAAATATATTCATCTAAGTATACCATGATTTGCATAATTATAAAAAAATTCCAATTCTCAATTAAAAAATACATTTACCCACAAAATAAGTGAATTAACTAGCACACATGTAACAAGTAATTAATGAAACTTAGAACTCTTGTCTATTGTTAAATACTTGATAGTTTTAAGTATCTATAAAAAAAATAAGAATTTCTTAATTCTAAATGCGATGCCAGTTGAAGTTTCAAGCGATAAATATATATTCAAGGGAAGACTACACAGTCAAGTAAAAAACATGTGGCCTTTTATATTTTAATACTGTACAATCAAATTAGCTATTAATTAAAACAGCTTCTCAGAATATTTTTTTTTATAAAAGAAAGATCTGTATAAAGTATTAACAGGACTCTGATTCATCAATAATGGGTTTTTTTTCTTCATTTTCTTTTTATTTCATAAACAATACCACAGTATAAAAAGTGTACTATGATCTTTATGTTTGCGTTTATAGTATTTTATCTGGATAAAGATTGCTGTCAGGAAATGTATTTCATTTATTGATGTTCTAGAGTGCTATAACTTTCGGGCAACCCTGAATGATAAAAAAAAAATAAAAAAAGGTAAAAATAAATCTAATTGGAAATTATTTTCAAGCTTTCTTTTTTTTTTCTTTGTTTATCAAACATGACTTTCCAAAAGATTTACTGAATCCCCCCGTTCTTATTGATTAAAAAATACTGGTAGTTCATGGGTCACAATTCATCATTTTTTATCTTCACTTCATGTTCCTCTTCTGAATTTCCCTTGAGCTTCTTTTTCTTTTTCTTCTTATCCTTAGTTTTATCTTCTTTTCTTTCAGTTTTCGTTTTCTTATCAGTATCTTTATCTTCTTTCTTTGGCACAAAAACTTCATCTAAGCAGGCTAAGGGATCAGTAACAAAATAAAACATTTTCAATATTTAAACTTTACAAATCCTGTAAAGTTTACTGCTCACACAATACTATGTTTTCATAATATTACCTACAAACAACCACGTTTTTGTTTTTTTAAACATTAAAATCTATGCTCTGTATTTACAACAAATAATTCAATCACCTTACGTTTTTCTTACTCATATATATTAATACGTGCAAACTGTGCTTATGAAATACCTATGCCACCACTTTGACCTTGACCTACAAAAGTTAATCAGGTCCAGAATTTTGTATGTAGTACGCTGTTGTATAATTTTGGTAAAAATCCATCTATTCGCTCTTGAGATATTCTGTCCACAATATTAGGGCAGACAGGAATAAACCTCTTGAGATATTCTGTCCACAATATTAGGGCAGACAGGAATAAACCTCTTGAGATATTCTGTCC